TTTCCGTTTTTTCGGTTACCGTTTCCGTTTCCGTTTAGCCTCCAAATCCGAAAAAATTTCGAAAACGATTCCCGGTAATCGGAAATTACCGTTTCCGTTTTCATCCCTATTGCAAGACTATCACATTGTTTTCTACCATAGCCTCTTTCCACATTACAACAAAAATTTTAAAAAACACAAGCTCAAAAGCTACAATCTCCAAATAAAGAGAGACCCAATTTGAATAACACAAACTTTATAGCTCACTTTTCCTTTTTTTTTTCTTTTTTTTTTCACCTTTCACCAATCCCCAAACCCAAACTTCATCAAAATCAGTAATAGTTAGTCCAAGCAAAAGCCCAAATGGAGATGATAATACATTTCACCCTATCCTTAACAATCCCATCAAAAATTTTGCTCAAGTTTTCTGAAAAAGGTATCATCAAATTCTGTGTCTGTTATTCCTTTCAGCAGCAATAGTGATTAATCTTGAAACCCCTTGTGTCCAAATATCGTACTCCCTTCGACTCCTGCATTCAAATTCGACGACCCCACGTGCAATGGTCTTTAAGGCAAAGTACCGCCGGTGCTCACCGCCCTCAAGCAAGTGACGGCCAGGCCATGCCGGGATATCCTTCAACACCTCCAAAACAATATCTGAAATAACACATAAGTGGTAAAAATGGAAAATACTATGTTGAGTTTTGGTTATGTTTTTCATTTTTAATTGTGGCTCAAAAGAAAAAGAAAATGTAGAACTTACTCTTTTTCGTTTTCGTGACTGTCCCGGCTACATGTCGACTTTTCATTTTCAGCATCACCTAACAATGTGAAGAGCACTTCTTCAGCGTAGATCACGAGATAAAGCCTAAAGCAGTTTCAATGCTCTTGCATCCATGAGCACTTTTTGAATTGAAGGTCACAATTGAAGCCAAAGATTTTTTAAAAGAAAGTGAAGGAATATTTCGATTAACTCCAAAGTAATTGGTTTCGATGGTTCAATCATAGAGAAGAAAAACAGTACAAAATAAAAGTAAAAAATAATGCGGATATATATACCTGACCCACTCTGTTAATATAGACAGACACTATCTTCCAATGCAGATCACCTGCATTCACCATTGGGGACAGGTTTATCAAGAATCAAGTACACATTTTACAATAACCAAGAATGTTTTTTTCTAATAGGTCAAATTATATCTTCAATCTTGAAACAAAAAATAAGCACAGTTCTTCCATTGTTACCCTGGCGCGTTTTCTTCAACAGCTCGCATCCTCTGGCGAGCAACTCACGACTACAAATCCCAAGGAAATTCTCCTCCGGAACAAGTTCGCCGCTGAAGCTCCCATTCGAACTTCCATTACTAGCATCTCCCATTCCTTTGTCAACCGGGATCACGGCAGCTAGATTCCACACATCCTTCAATGCTCTTGCCTTTAATGTGGCGGCCCCACGTAAAGCTACAAAATCCAAACATCCAGCACAAATTTAACCAAATTTACAAAAAATAAACATGGGTCCATATGAAAACAAAAATTGTGATACCTTGATCTTGATGGGGTGTTCTGTTGATACTTGAAACCTCAAGGAGCTATTTTTATTTAATTTTTTTAACAAAAACATTTTAGATCATGCCTTCAATTAACGCTGGACCAGGAAGTTTTTCCGATTACAAAAGTCTTACCGGTAGCAGCAGCAGCCGTCAAGGTCATAATATCTCCGGGCGATCGAACATTGACAGCCGAACTGACGACAGAGGCCAGATGGTCCCGCTCGGCCCCCATTGCCTCAGCCGCCTCCACGCACTGTGCGGCCACCAGCGTGGCGGCCGATGCCACCGCCATATCCGCCGCTTCGCCGGACGCGGCGGCAGTAGCAGCCGCAATGGCAGCAACGGCCGACGCCACCCCAGCCACTGATACGGCCGCGTGGAGTTGCGCATTGTGGGCCCGTGCCTCTTCTTTCTTCTTCTCTCTCCTATCCTTCAGCCATCGCCCAACCGTCTTCCCACCACCGTTCACGGCGCCCGAAGAGCTCTTGCAGTGGTTGATGTTCATGCGCAAGTACTGCATCTGCATATACAGAGTAAAAACTAACTAACTTCACTTTAATGACGATGTTGATGTATCATAACTCCTCCAATTATTTTTGTCCTAAAAATGTATGATCATTCTCATAACTCATAACTGCATTAAATGATTTTATTATTGAAATATACTCTCAACACATAAAGAACACACATAAACACAACCAAGAAAACTGATTCTTACTAAAAAAAAAAAATAAAAATAAAAATAAAATCAATTAAAGAAGATTAAAAAAAACTTAATAAATAAACAAAGAATAAATATCATACTCTGAAAATGTTTTTTTTGAATAAAGGAAAAGCTGCCTCTCTGTCACTACAGAACTTGTGCTATGTGTCCGAAGAAAAACAACAAAAATAAAAGAAAAATCTGAACAAGAATACAACATGCTTCACTAGAAAGACTCAAAAAAAAAAAAAGGTTGAGATAAATTATAATATAGGAGAATGCTACCATCCCGTTACGGGATGGTTCCGTTGTATTTTTAAGCGTTGGATTAACTACCCATCACTAGATTACATGTATATCTATGGCTAGAAAACACAAC